CAGTACATGGGAAAAATATCATAATAACCGATATATCATAATAAGAGGGTTCCACTGTATCACACTATTTTTGTCATCACTCCAACAGCTACATTTTGTTGAAACTCTGCAGGTTTGTTTGCCATTGTCTTACCTTCAACAACTTTGAATATAGACATTATCTGTCAGTGGTCAAAAACAGAGTGAGACTTTATCATCATATCCCTTAATCAACACTCTAGCAGCAGTATTGACAGATTGTCCTGGTAGTGTTTGTCGTGGTGGGAGTTGTTAGTCAAAGGTCAAGTTCACTGTCACACTCATTGTCATCAATCTAGTGGCCGTATGTCTGTAGAGATTTTCATGAAACTTCATAGTTGTGTTTGCACTGATTAGTATCATTAGTCAAAAGTCAAGGTCGCTGTTACTAAAAATAGAATTCTTATACAAAATGGTTTGTAATCACTGAAAGTGGCTGTAACAGATTCTCAGAAATCTAGATACATAAACTTGCCTTGGGCATACCTTTAACATGTGTAAGTATTGTCAATCCATTGCTTAATTACAGGAAGGTGGAGGGTTCAGAAGGGGAGATTGTGGTTTATCCGGGTGAGGAGGAACAGAATACAACAGAGGAGTCCTTTGAGGAGGGAGACTGGGAGGTGGAACCATTCGATCCGTAAGTTGATACAAATTGAGTCCTTTATAGATCACAGTTTCAACTCATTATCTTTAACTATCCGTAAATTTACGATTAGGAAATCAAATATGATAAAATCATAACAATGATCAACAGTTAGAGCAATGATCTGCTAGACCTAGGGAAGAAAGTGAAATAATTCAAAGAAAGATTTGGCCTCAAACTTTTGTGTTTTTAAGTATCACTTATTAACAAATATAGAAATATAAAATTTCACCAGTTTAGTTTAAAATGTGTATTAAACATATGAGTGTCATAGTGAGCATTTGTTGTCTGGTTAGCATGTCAGATTAGTGATGTTGTAGATCAGTCCATTGTGTGATCATAAAGAGACGTATTTATTGTAGATACCTGTTTATAAAGAACCTACCACCTCTCACAGATGAGCTGCGTGTCCGCATGCCTGCCTTACCTCTAAAGACCAGGAGTTCCCCCGAGTTCTCTCTGGTCCTTGACCTGGTAATTTATTACGTTCAGAATTAAAACCAGTAGACCAGTGCATAGGGAATGAGTTCACTAAATATTATGCTTTTACAATAGTTTATGTCAGTGATCTCTCGCTGGTACTATTTACTCTAGGTTTGTACTACCTCTACAGATAATGGAATGTGAAATTAGTCCTGGTGTTCACAACATGTTGATGTGTCCAATCCAGGTATCATTTTGGGATTTTTTATGCGAAAGACAAGATTTGCGTATTGAAAATGGGACTTGTACATCTCTGTGTATATAGTGTGAAACCCTACGTTTAGTTTTTACGTGAAGTGTGTCTTGAGATCGGGTAATATGGATTGGGTGCAATAATTTGCCATCTTATGTTGGTAATTAT